TCATTTGAAGACGCTGGAGAACATGCTGTAAATGAGTATTCATGATCTGAAATGAAGAAGCAACTGGTCTTCAAATAGTTTTCAACATTTTACTCAACTTACGAATACAGTCCGCCATGCAGACACAAATGGAGCAAATGGAGAATTCTGGAATCGACCTCGGCACCACTTGATGCAGTAAAACAACCCAACATGACCTTATCTAGTTTTCGCATCCACGATCAAATTTCTTTCCTGACGCAAAACTACGATCAGGCTGCTGAAAAAAATGGAATAAATATATCACTGTTCTCAACACAATACCTCAATAAACTTCAAGCCAAGGGTGCTGTTTACAACAAAGTTATATAGGAGAATTCACTTCAAGATTTATTTTTCCCAGATATTTGTGTTACATTCCTCTGATGTCTGGGTTTTTTGCTAATACGAAGACAATATCTCCTTATGTGCTACACAAACAAACTATAGCAGACTGTTCAGACTGACTTTGATGTCAGAAAGAACAACCAAACTGTAAATTCACCATACATCAAAATATGTATAATTTATATAATAACTTATCCATGCCTGTACAACCAGTATGTTCCTGCATAAACAGGAATAGATATATACTACGTGAATAAAATATATTATTATTATTTTAAAATATTATTATTAGTGAGGGGAAAACTAGCTTTATATTTTCAAACTACAAATCTGGTGATAAGGCAAACGTTTGCAATTACATACCTATAGATATAACTCCAGTTATCTCGTTTTCAATATATTTCTTCCTGTTTATGCAGGAACATACCAATTGTACAGGCATGGATAAGTTATTATATAATTTACACAAAATTTGATGTATAGTGAATTTACAGTTTGGTTGTTCTTTCTGACATCAAAGTCAGTCTGAACAGTCTGAACAGTTCATCTGGCGGTACGTTCGAAATTGGTGACATTTTTGCACGTGTTTGCTCTGAAATTTATTTACTGCTTATTGTCATATAATTCTTGAAATTATGGTCCAAATCTCTAAAAAACGTGTTCGTAGAAACACAATTGTTTTAGATAGTGGCTTAAATTCGGTTATAACTGCATTACCGCCGTGTAATACAGTATCAACTACTAGCTCTCAAAATGGTTTGAGTGCAGATCTCACTCCTGTGATACAGGTGAAAGATGTTCTGTTAGAGAACTCTGAGTTCTGTAAACTAAACCTCCTTTTGAAAGATATGCAGAGGCAAGTAAGTGAAATTCAGAAAAAATTAGATCAGTTTGATAGTATGTCACTGCCAATCTCAAATACCACGGAGAGCCGGTCTGATATTGGCCAGGTTAAGTGTTTACTGGATGTAACTCAAAATAAGCTTTTGAATTTAGACCCAATAGCCTGTCTTTTAGAAAGGCATCCTAAAATATCTCCAGACAACCTAAATAAAGCTGAAAATCTGATTGACTGCTTGGCTACGGAGGTGATGAAGCGTATAACCTCTTCTCACCAAGCTATAGTTTACAACGTCCCAGATTCTCTGCCCCTGAAAACTGTAAGACACAAAATCCTGATTTGTTGCGGCATGGCTAGTGTTCCATGTGAATGCAAACGACTTCGTAAAAAGTCTAACCAGGCTAATTGCCCAATCATTTTTAAATTCAGTAATTCCCTTGATGCTAGTAAGTTTACTAAATGTCAGGATCACTTAAGACTGAATAGCAGTTATAAGTCTATAACCGTAGCTCAGGATAAAACACCGTGTCAGCGCAGAATAATGCGTAGTAATAACCTGGTCACCTCCTCTAGCTTAGATTTACCAAAAAAGGATCGTGCACAGCAACAGACACCTAGTGCTGAAACTAGCATTCAGCAAACTACACAACAACCACACCTGCCAATGGAACTAGGAACTGATTTAGATACCAGTACCCCTGTAAATAAAGCCTCATCGAAAGATGTTAAAATGACTAGAACTTCTGCAAGTTGTTCTAAGAAATTTCCCCCCAAACGTAGTAACCTCACCACGATGAACAAATTTCGCAGGGTTGAGACTAATGATGGGGAAGAATACTTTGTATTCAATAAGCCTGCTGAGAGTAAGAATGCCAACAAACCATCACTTGTTACGAAAAACTCCTCTCGAAACATAAGTATATCTGGAGGTGTTCCGCATGCTCCACCTTATAGAAAGTCAGGCTCCAAGACTCCTAAAGTCTTGCAGCCAAAGCACCTTCCTTCACAATTCCCTTTAAGTTATAAAAACAACCCGAAGGTGTATACCGGTATGACGAATAGCAGTTGGATGGGTAGACCTTCTGATGCTATGCCTTTTAACCGTCAACCTAGGCCCAACCTGTACTACCCTTATATCCAGGAACACATGGTAAATTTTCCAGGTGTCCCGAATCACTGGTACGACCCATGGCACCTAGGACCACCTCATTGCACACCAACCCGATGTACAGACACCCAGTCCGACCTCCTTTTCATTCATAAATTCTTGCGGTGCTGACGCACAAATAGATTTAGGTTATGGTGACATTTTAAGCCAGTTTGTAGTATCCCGTGACTTATTCACGATATTGCTAATTAATGCACGTTCCTTAATCAATAAGATATCTGAACTAAGGACATTATTATTAGTCGCCAAGCCTACTGTAGCTCTGATTACTGAATCATGGTGCTCATCCTCTGTACTTGATGTGCATATAGGTATCGATGATTACACTGTACACCGTGCAAACAGAGATTGCAAGCGTGGTGGAGGATGTCTCATATATATACATAGCTCATTTGTAGTCAGTAAGGTGGAAGATGAAACAATGAATAATGTACCTGACTCACTCTGGGTTGTCTTACATGGAGATAAGTACAAACTTCTCATAGGCTGTGTTTATCGAGCACCAAGCTCAACAAAAGAAACTGATGCGTTATTAGCTAAATCGTTTGCACACGCATCCTCGTTTAGTGCTAATTACAAAATAATTGCAGGGGACTTCAATCTTCCAGAAGTCAATTGGCTAACTAGTTCCGGCCCCCAACGCTTCGACGAATTACTTGCCACTATAGACTGTTATGGATGGCAACAACACGTCCAGACACCTACTCGTGGTGACAACATGTTGGACCTTGTTTTTTGTCATGACACAATCCCAGTATCCACGTATGTTGGTAATCGATTTTCCAGTAGTGACCATAGAATGGTACTCTGCTCTCTGCCTTTCTCACCACTAAATACAGGAAACAAACAAGACTCAGGAAGCACAATATGTCGTAGTTACAAATATACAGACTGGGGATTAGTCCAAGAACTTATTCGACTCTGTCAATGGGATGACTATTTTACCACTGACTCCCTGGAGGCCTTAGTAACCCTGTTTTACAGGAATGTTACCCTTTGTCTAGATACAGTTGCTCCAAAGAAAATAGTGAAATTAAGTAGACACCGAACTGAATATATTCCAAGGGCACACCGTAATAAGTTAAGGAAGCTGAAGAAACAGTACTATTCCACTAAGGACATATCACTACTGCTCTCAATCCACGAGTCTCTTGAATCTATCAAGCGCCTACGCTCTCAAAAGGACCTCGACGAAGAGTTAACGGCACTTGAAAGTACCTCCAAAGTTTATAACTTAACGGCACTTCTTAAAAAACGAATGCAGTCGGCGAGGGAAATCCCATACTTACTTCACGACAAAGTAATCTACAATGAACCTGCCACTATCTGTGAACTCTTCAGTGATTGGTTTGCAAACTTTAGTTTAGAAACACATATGCCTGGTGAAACCGCCCCCCTTACTATTGTGGTGAGAGCAGGCTGCTAGCCGATTGGTTGGCACTAATCTACGTTAAGGTCTAGGTCACTAATATGGGCCGTGAACAAGCCTGAGTCAACAACCAATCACAGCAAAGTTAACGTGGCAAAATATGATTCGCAGAGAGAACTCTATTTGTCAAGGAATCCCGAAACAACCAATCAGAAGCCTGCGTTTGTCTACCTAAACAACCAATCAGATGACTGCGCTTGTCTATAATAATGTAGTTGAAAGATGTATAAATACGTGTTGATTTTCATAATAAAACGATCTGTTGCCTGGCCCTTGTCTTCTGTTGTTACATTTGGTGTCGCTGCCTACCGACAAATGAAAAGCCTATACCCTGCAGTTTTTGATGGAGACATATGGATCTTCGGGCAGGACTTCAAGGCTTCTGCGCAGTTGAGTGGCGTTCAAGATCTGCCAGCGATGGAGCTGCTACTTGAGACGCTGCTGGGAGGTCGGGCGAAAGCAGCATATGAAGGTGTCGGCCGAAGTATGGACGAATGTTCGACAGGGTCAGGCAAACAGTTTCCAAAGTGGGAAGGACCATATATGGTCACTTCGAGATGGGGTTACGCAGACACAGTCGCAATGGCGAACAATGAGAGGCGCGTGAACGTCAGCGAGCTCCAGAAATGGATACAGCGAGACAAGCCAACGATGACGCCTGCACCAAGTAGATCAAGCCGACTTCAGTCGCACGTATTTGACGGGGGGACGAGTGTGGTGAGAGCAGGCTGCTAGCCGATTGGTTGGCACTAATCTACGTTAAGGTCTAGGTCACTAATATGGGCCGTGAACAAGCCTGAGTCAACAACCAATCACAGCAAAGTTAACGTGGCAAAATATGATTCGCAGAGAGAACTCTATTTGTCAAGGAATCCCGAAACAACCAATCAGAAGCCTGCGTTTGTCTACCTAAACAACCAATCAGATGACTGCGCTTGTCTATAATAATGTAGTTGAAAGGTGTATAAATACGTGTTGATTTTCATAATAAAACGATCTGTTGCCTGGCCCTTGTCTTCTGTTGTTACACTATCTCTTCCCTTGAAAGCATTGTGTTCACTAATCAGTTAATAGTACAAGCAATTAAAAGCCTTAAACCTTCCACTAGTACGAGACCGGATGGCCTCGCTTCGATAATTTTCAAAAACAGTGGGTGTGATATACCCTTGTTACTTCTTAAATTCTTCTCAATATCTATGGACACTGGCACTTACCCTAGTGAGTGGAAAACTAGCTTCATAATTCCACATTACAAATCTGGTGATAAGGCAAACGTCCGCAATTACAGACCCATAAATATAACCCCAGTTATCTCACGAATCATGGAGAAAGTTGTAAAAGATCAATTGTCAGACTACCTAATTAGGGAAGATCTTGTTACAAGGTCTCAACACGGATTTCTCAAAAATAGATCCTGCGTTACTTGCCACTTCGACTTTTTCAACTGCATCACTAGTAGTCGCGAAGCACGTAAGCTAGTCGTTGTTCTCTACTTCGATATATCTAGGGCATTTGACATGGTATCTCACAGTATTCTCTTTGAGAAGCTGTACTCTTGTGGAATTCGCAACCCATTACTGAACTGGTTAAAATCATTTCTAAGCAACAGGGTACAAATAACCAAAGTTGGATCTGTATTGTCTCATCCTAGGCAGATCTCAAGTGGGGTCGTGCAAGGTAGTGTCCTAGGTCCACTTTTATTCACAGTCTACATTAACAGCATTTGCAAGTGCTTCACCTCAGGTAAACCATTCCTATATGCTGACGACCTCAAAGTCGTCTACTCCTGCTACACTCATGAATTAAGCGATATGGTAGCTAAAATACATCTTGAACTAAGTAGTCTTGCATCATGGTGTGCCGATTCCTGTCTAAATTTTAACATTGACAAATGCGGCTGGATTTGTATTGGCAACAGTAACCTTGATCTAACTCTTGAAATAAATGGGCGAAAACTAGCTAAGCTCAACTCAGTCGTAGATCTCGGTATTAGATACTCTAGTAACCTAACGTTCGCTGAACAGACTGATTATGCCAGACGTAAAACGCGAAGGCTGATAGGATGCATAACACGCAATTTCTTTTGTTGTGAAACTAGGGTTTTATTATACAAAGTATGTGTCCGACCTATCTTAGAATACTGCCCGTTTATTCTTAGCGGACTAAGACAAAATGACAAGCTTAAATTAGAGGGAGTGCAACGGCAGTTTACCTCAAGAACTCTTGGTTTAGAAAGTGGTCTGGAATACCATGAGCGATGCGAAAGACTAAGATTAGAACCCCTCTGGAAAAGACGCCTTAAGCTAAACCTTATCTTTTACTACAAGCTAACTAATCTTCTCTTGCATTCCTCCGAGCCAATAACTAAACCTACCGCTGTCATCAGTTACAATCTTAGAAATCATCACAACCTAGCTGCTATGGAGCACTGTCAGACTTACGTGCGGTACAACTTCTTCTTAAATAAGTTTTCAGTCATTTGGAATAGACTACCAGCTAATGTGCGCGATGCAAACACACTTCCAGTGTTCATCTCCTCAGTCACCAGACTACTCAAAGATGACAATGCACTTTTGCGCCTGACTCTTACACCTTCTTTTTCACCCTACATAGATATTTTAAGTTCTTTAAACGTGTAGTTACAACAAACTACAATTATAAATTTTAATATTATTGGAACTAGATGATTAACATTTCTACACAGGACAGTAATATTAGTTTACACATAATATAAAAGTTAGCATAACGGGACTAGTTAGTTTGTGTACCAAAATAACCACAGTTACTAAACAGAATATATATGTATATATTTATTAATCACTCCTTAAGGACTCCCGTTGCTTTCTTTTGCGTTGCTGTTGTTTGTCTTCTTTTTTCTCTCACCATTTCAGCTTCCATTTGACTTTTTGAATGAGAATGAATAATGTGGATATTTGACCATTTACAATGACAAATGATCTGCAAACATTATTGGTCCCGTATCTTTCAGTTGCCTGGTTAATAACGAATTAACTTTCTCCACGACGCAACCTGGATTACATTTGTGGAATATACTCTTATACCAATGGAAAAGTATCTATTTGTAATACAACGTCACGATTGTAGCTTATAACATAACTGATCGTATCTGTAAAAATAGCTTCCTTATTACCCAATTTGGATATAAATCAAATCAAAAATAAGATTCGGATTTGTACACACCCAAGTTATATTGAGGAATTACTTCAAGCTTTATTTTTTCCCAAGTATTTTTAATCCATCCAAAACTTACTTGGGTTTTTTGTTAATGCGAAGACAATATTCCTATATTTCATGATGTGCTCCATTGAATGACTTGTTATATTGTGGAATAACTTCAAGCTTTATTTTTTCCCAAGTATTTTTAATCCATCCAAAACTTACTTGGGTTTTTTTGTTAATGCGAAGTTAATATTCCTATATTTCATGACGTGCTCCATTGAATGACTGGTTATCATATTGTTCCCACAGACCTAAGACAAAAACGCCAGCAACCATGTAACTTAACCATAAACCAAATTTATGAAATTTATATAATGCTTATCCATGCCTGTATATTTGGTGTGTCCTACACAAGTAGGAAAAAATGTGTATTTTATTAAAACATTATTATTAATTATGATTGCTAATCGTATATGTAATTTATCATATTGATGATGCCTGTAAACTGGCGTCTCTCATGTACAAAATGAGAATATACTATTATTATTATTATAAAGTTGGTTTGTGTAGCACATAAAGAGATATAGAAATATTGTCTTCGCATTAACAAAAAACCCAGACATCAGATGAATGTAATACAAATATCTGGGAAAAATAAAGCTTGAAGTCAATTCTCCTATATGACTTTGTTGTGAACAGCACCCTTGGCTTAAAGATTATTGATGTATTATGTTGAGATCAGTGATATATTTATTCCATTTTTTCAGTAGTCTTGTCGTAGTTTTATAACAGGAAAGAAATTTGATCGTGGATACGAAAACTAGATAAGGTCATGTTGGGTTGTTTTACTGCATTAAGTGGTGCCGAGGTCGATTCCAGAATTCTCCATTTGCTCCATTTGTGTCTGCATGGCGGACTGTATTCGTAAGTTGAGTAAAATGTTGAAAACTATTTGAAGACCAGTTGCTTCTTCATTTCAGATCATGAATACTCATTTACAGCATGTTCTCCAGCGTCTTCAAATGGTAGAATTGGATCGTTCATGGAATTTCAGTGGTTATGAGATAGACGGTTTGGAATTAATCCTCATTTCAGTTTAGATGCAGGGTTGTTCGACCTCGACCAGAAGATGAATAGGAGCAGCAGAATACCAGAAAGAGAAGGTATGTGAACATGAAAAGGACATTAACATTTTAAGCATGAATCATGGAGAAAGTTGTTAAAGTTCAAATTTCAGACTATCTACTTAGGGAAAATCTTGTTACAAGGTCTCAACATGGATTACTCAGAAATAGGTCTTGCGTTAGACTTTAAGACTTTTTTAACCACATCACTGGTAGTCGCGAAGCACGTAAACCAGTCGTTGTTCTTTACTTGGATATATCTACTGCACTTGACATGGTATCTCACAGTATTCTCTTTGAGAAGCTGTACTCATGTGTAATTCTCAACTCATTGCTGAACTGGCAAAAATCGTTTCCTAGCAACGGGGTACAAATAACCAAAGTCGGATCTGTATTGTCTCATCCTAGGCAGATCTCAAGTGGGGTTGTGCAGGGTGGTGTCCTAGGGCCACTTTTATTTACATTCTACATTAACAGCATTTGCAAGTGCTTCACCTCAGGTAAACCATTCCTATATGCTGACGACGTCAAAGTCGTTTACTCCTGCTGCAGTTACGAATTAAACGATATGGTAAGTAAAATACATCTTGAACTAAGTGGTCTCGTAACATGGTATGCTGAATCACGTCTAAAGTTTAACATTGAAGAATGCGGCTGGATTTGTATTGGCAACTGCAACCTTGATTTAACTCTTGAAATGAATGGGCGAAAACTAGCCAAGCTCAACTCAGTCGTAGATCTTGGTATCAGATACTCTAGTAACCTAACGTTCTCTGAACAGACTGATTATGCTAGACGTAAAAAATGAGGGCTCTTTGGATGCACAACTCGTAATTTCTTCTGTAGTGAAACTACGGTTATATTATTCGAAGTATGTGTTCGACATATTCTAGAATACCACCCGTTTATTCTTAGCGGACTGTGACAGAATGACAGGCTTAAATTAGAGGCAGTGCAACGGCAGTTTACCTCAAGAAGTCTTTGTTGAGAATGTAGTCTGGAATACTCTGGGCGTCACTACAGACTGAAAATAATACCACTCTGGAAAAGATGTCTTGAGCTAAACCTTCTTCCTACTACAAGCTAACTAATCTTCCCTTGCACTCCTCCTGGTCAATGACTAAATCTACCTGTCATCAGCTACAATCTTCGAAATCGCGACAACCTAGTTGCTATAGAGAATTTCCAGACTTGCATGCGGTACAACTTCTAAAACAAGTTTTCAGCCATTGGGAATAGATTATCAGCTAATGTGCGCGATGCAAACACACTTCCAGTGTTCATCTCCTCAGTCACCAGGCTGCTCAAAGATGAAAATGCACTCTTGCGTTTGACCCCGACAACCTTTTTTCCACTGTACATAGATATTATAAGTTCATTAAACGTATAAGTTACAACAAACTACAGTTTTAAATGTTAATATTATTCAGTGACATGATTAACATTTCTACATCGGACATTAATATTAGTTCACACTTAGTATAAAATTTAGCGTAACAGGACTAGTTTGTCAGTGTGCCAAAACGATCTTATTTACTTTCACAGAATATATATTTAGATTTACAAATCGCTCCTTGAAGACTCCACTTGCTTCCTTCTGAGCTGCTGTCGTTTTGTCTTCTTTTTTCTCTGACCATTTTGGCTTCTCTGTGACTTTTTTATTGAGAATGAAGAATGTAGGTATTTGGCCACTAACAGTGACAAATGATCTGTAAACATTACTGGTCCCATATCCCAAGACTGCCTCGTGCATTACCCATTACCTTCCTCCGCGATGCATCCTAGATTACAGTTGTGGCATATTCTTTTTTACCAATAAAAAATCACAACAACCTTATCTGTTCGGCTCTAATTAATGTGGTTATTTAAGAAATAATGAATACACACTAACGGTTGCATGTGAAATCTCACTGACTTGCGTGATGATAATTTCTAGCTCTTGCATGCTCCAATTGTTATTTTACATGGATTAATTCTCCATTGTTCTGGTTCCTGGCCACACATGGACTGAAAATTACCTATTACTGTAAAAACACTTCTTTGTCTGTTTAACTGGACACTTAATGCTGTATTTCCGAGGTCGCTCTTCTGTTCCTGAAATAGCTTTTGATATCGTAGTGACGTAGCACTTACCCAAATATACGCGGTTCACTGGTTGGCTACAACTATAAGCATGAAGCAGAACGAAGTTTGGATTGTCGCTCGACTTTGATGGTGAAGGGTTTAAAGTTTAACTTTTATACGAAACCGTTCTGATTGCTTATACCATTATCTAACGATTTAAACTTTTGGAAAGTAATAATTTACAATGATTCACTATTGAAATTTACAACATAACTGAATGTGCCTGTAAAAATGGCATGCATTTCTTGTGAACACCCGTTTGTAAGAAAACATAAATTACTATTATTATGTTTTACAAGCCGTAGTTATGCTTTTGTGATGATATGTAACGCAGCCCTTAGTTGTTACGCGCGTCTTCGGCAAATTCAAACAATACTGGTGCCTGGAATTATATCATGTAAATTGTTTTTAACTATGTGAAGTTTCGACTGATATTAGTCCATTGCGTTTCCTTGTATATGTTCAAATATATCCTGTGTAAGTGCAAGCTATAAACATGCTTGCTTCATCTATATATTTCTTGTCATATTGATGATGCCTGTAAACTGGCGTCCCTCACGCAAATAAAGTGAGAATATGCTACCATAATTAAATCCCCACTAAGGCATGAAGTTTTCGCCATTTTTGGCTTATCCAGGACCAATTTTCTTGGCTCAGCGAACACTGGGTGCCGTCTGTCCTTATAGTATCAGTAATTTTTGGGCCATCCTCGGAAGTTAAAGGGAGTAGCGAACTCCGCCAGTGTTTCGGGATCCCCACCGGGTAAAACTGACGCAGATTGGACTGGATTCAACAGATGATGCCCGATCGCCTTTCCTTTCGTATGCCAGGAAGTTTGTCTCATTGTTTAACTCACCCTTGCACTGTCCACCGATAAGTCATATCTTTGCAGGAGGTGTATGTAGATGAATGCTAGGTCTCAATCAGGAAGAGTAAGCACCCATGGATGCTGTTTAAGCCAAAGTCAATGGTCAGCGTTTTCTGCCCGAATGTCACTGGCTAGGTCTTATTGGAAGTCCTAGGTTGACAAGGGACTTCTGCCATCCCGGCTAGGCATTTGATTTTGGCGTTGCAGTGATTGCAACTCATGCACCAATCAAGAAGTCCCTGCTAGGGTTTCTACCCTTGATGTTAAATAGGTGACTATCCCGCCACTCCACAGTAGTCGCTGCCCGAGAGGGGGTTAGTCGTTTCCCTGTCGCCTGCGGGTAGTTCAAGTCAGGCGCACGGTTGTGCGCATTTTGTTGACTGTGCAACAAATCTCCAGGGTGGAACCCACCATGGCATTTTCAACCTCAAAGAAAGCATTTTTAGCAGATGCATCAAGTGCAATGGAATCGAAGACCTGATATTGGCTGAATCCTGGAGGCACACTTACGGATAGGGCATCGGCAGTAACTCACCAGGCTACAAAGGCTTTAAGATTTTTCATTGTGTTCATCTCCAGGAACTTCAGAATTGCCTCAACACTTTCAGTCAAGATCGAGGGATTCTGGTCCTATTTGACACTTTTGAATATTTATGGTGATACCATCTCGGAGTAACTTTTCGGATGTCAAGTTCAAGTGCCTAAGGTGAGTTTCCTTATCTGAACTCTCAGTGGAGCAGTCGTTAAGGTATGCGCTTACGAAGCCAAGACCGCGAAGTTGTCCATCGGTTATTATTAAGAATATTTTCGGTGCAATCTGGAGACCGAATGGAGTGCGAAGAAATTAAGACAGTTCGATTGGCGTAATAGTAGCCGCCTTCGGAATATCATCTGGTGCCATCGGGATTCGGTTGTATGGTTTAACCAAGTCTATTTATGAGAAAATATCTGTACCAGATAACGTTGTCGTCAAGTCGTGCATGTGAGGCAGTGGATAGCAATCAGGAGTTGTTCGGGCATCCGCTCACCGGCAATCGCCAGTACGTCGCGAATCATTATTACTTTATTGGCACCATATGAAGAGGGGATGCCCACGAGCTAGTCGATGTCCGGATGATGCCAAGGGTGAATATATGGTCGAATCCATTTCTTGCAATTCGTAGTTTGGCAGGAGCAAGTCGTCGTGCTCTCGATATCACGGGTTGTCCTGAGTTCTTGATGTGGTGCATAACGTTGCTAGTTACTCACAGCAGATCGTTAGATTGGCGATTAAGTTCCGGGTACTTGCCAACAGTCGGCTGAAAGGCTGAATCAGCAATCGCTCCCTGGCTAATAACTGATAGAGTGACTTCTGCAGGTGGTTCCTCTAACAGAAAGCTTAGTAGTGACGTCTATCAGTAGTTTTCGGTGGACATCTGTGAGTGGATCACTATGGTTGAGTAGATCCATGTCTATGATAATTGTTGTGGCGGTGGCAAGGAGAGAAATCCACTGAAGAGGTTTGCGAAATCCCTACATTTAGGTATACGCATTTCTCGCAGAAGTCTACAATACCTTTTCCATTCACATGCCATAGGTTCAAGGGAGGTTCATTCTGTCAATCTCTGTGTTAACGAGGTACAATGTCTTGTTGATTACATTGCGGATGTATTTTGGGCTGCTACTGTCACCAGTGACGGTTGCCGTTAACGCGTGCCAGCGGGATAATTTTCCAGGGTCTTGAAGTAATTGCCAAAATTACAGGGTTTTCGGAGATATTTTACTTGCTACCCATAAATGGCGCCACTGGGGGAATTGTTTTGACGGTATGCGGAAATACAGGGACCCAGGTAGTTGTTAGACGGAGTTGCATAACTACGTCACTTCATTTTCCCTATTCGAAGACTGTTTAGTGATCTAGCATATTTCCGTGACTGGCCGTCGGGTTATTTCTAGAATTTTATCAGTAGTTGTAGTGGATTCATCTATAATAACACCTTGGAGTGTCACAAGCATAGCCTCTACTGACCGTGGTAATTTAGATAAGAACAACTCTCTAAATTGTCCCTCATCTAACTGACGTTGGCCGATAACTTTTCGCACTTGTACCAACATATACACGACCAACTGGGTTTATCAGGAGGTTGGTGAATCGAGAGATCCTCTAATCTTAATCAGGGCTGCTTTAAGCATCTCATAGGGATTGCTTACCTCTTGGATAGACGTCTGCTAAATAACGCATTTGCCTTATTCACGCGGTAGAGTGTGGATAACTGAAGGGAACTGTGAACGTCACCCAGCGATCTCATATTCACTGAAAGCCAACTCGGATACCTCAAGCCATGACTGCGAGTTATCTGGCCAAAATGGTTCGAGCTGAATGGTTTTGGTAGTTGGTCGAATACTCATCACCTAAGGCGTACGGTAATTGATGGCGAAATATATTTATTTTAAAAATAGTACGAGGACAAATACAAAATAGAACGAACTTACCGGATTTGTCTGAATGTCTACCGAAGGTGAAGTTCACGGTAGGGCTCACCGGTTTAGAGACTAAGGGTGTTGACGTCCACGGATAGTACGACTTATTCTAACGCAAGATCCAATACCCACAAACATTGAAGATCAGTGTGGCTACGATATCGATTTCTGTTTTCCTTTCTTTTCCTCTCCATAAAATGTCAGGAAATATGAAGAAAGAATACGACACAGCCAGGTGATCTGCTTTACATTGGAAATACTGCTAGTTTAAATTAGTCATTATCTCCCTTATAGGAACCATGAAGAAAAGTAACGTCAGCGTTGAAAACAGTGAGGAAAACACAAACACAAATAATCTGTGGAAAAATACTATTTTCCTCTCGAAACAATTTACCATAGATGAAAAGTCTGAATCAGGAAAGTCCAAAAATATATTCTAAGTTTAAATGAAATAAAACGTTCCAACACGTACTGTTAAGACTGTGGAACATTCAAATTATTTTCATATATCGGTTTTTTTGGTGTTAGTTAGGAAAATGTCTGACGATTCGGGATTTGATCTTTGTGAATGCATACAGTCGCATGATGGTGCTATGAGAAGATTATTAGGAATACTGAGACAGACTCAGGAGTTTTGCAGCGATAGCTCTTGTGTCGACGATTTATCACCAGTGCCACAAACGAATCAGGACCCCATGTCTGGTACTTATATGATGACATTTGTCGCCTTATTGGCTGTTTTTGCTGCAATTTTGTTTGGTGTGCCACGCTTTCGTTCTTCTGATGGCAAGCCGCGCAACAATTTCCAGGTAATTTTTAAATCTTTACATTCCTCAGTTATGCATTGAGACTTGGTAATTTTCTCGTAGACTCTTGTCAAATAGTTTATATATTTTGAGTTTTTTCGCAATCGTGATCCTACAGAATTTTGTTAAGAGTATACTGGAGCCATTGCGACAGGATGTCAAAGTTAATTTGCAGTTTAACTGTTTTTTTTCAGTGAGCACTATCTGACTCTAATGAAAAGTGTTGTGCACTGTTATCTTTTTCGTAGTTGTAGATGTCATAAGTACTTGGGATTTTGTTTAAGAGAAGATTGGTCGTTTGTTGTCTGTGCTGACATTCATTCAATGAGTTCATACTCCTGTCTCTTGAATCTTGTACTTTGTCCGTCAACTTATTAATTTGCATATATATTGTCTCATTATGAATTTTAAACGGTCTAACTATTGCACTCACCTGTCGTTATTTACAGTCTTTTATTTCAAGTGCCTTAAGGGAGTATTATTTCCAGTTATCATCATTACATGTGCGGTTTATTTTACTTTTATCCCGACTCTTAAGCGTAAAATTCTAATTAGATGGTTCTCACATTCGAAAATCATTGCTTTTTATTAGGAAGGTGAGTAATCTGTTTGTGGACACACCATTTCACAAATTCGAGGGAATGGCTTAATTGATGCATACTCAAAGTTTCTAGGCTAATGCAAAGTTTTCAGTGAAACTAGCATTTCCTATAAAATATCCAGCTCACCTTTGTCTTGTTATAATTGAGTTTTTTCCTTAGTACAAGTAGGAAGGAATTTAATTCTTTTTGATAAATAGAAATTTTTACTTTTATTACTGGCAAATAGTTTCACAAAACTAGATTCGCCTTTGTCTTCTCTATAGGTAGTGATAGCTACTTTGATTAACTAAGTCGACATCTTTCAGCAATTTATATTGTATGAGTTAAAGTAATGAAATCTTCTTCGTATTAGTATGTAATGTCATCAATTTCCGTCTTTTTTTCACAAGCACAATTAAATCTGCAGTCTGTTTATTTATTGAAACTTCAAAAAAGTAGTGTATGTATTATTCAGTAGTGGGGTGTAGTTCATATTGTGATTTACCATTTTTTTATTCCATCAATATTCATTCAGTATTGAACTTTGTGACGTTGAACGGCGTAATAATATTTTCATTCAGTGCTAAAGTACAATAAACAAGTACCTAAGAGGAATAAAAGTCTATAAAAGAGGTTGCAAATCTTAAAAGCGTTACAAATTAAATTCGTTTGTAAATTGGAACTTAATTTTCTTCAACTGATATTACGTTTGGGAAATTTGTATGCCGTAAACCAGTGTGTGTGTGACTCATCAAAATAAGATCTTATCCTTAATGGAGTTATACTCTACCGCAGTGCCCAAGTTTTATACTGCTGTAAATCTAGTTTATGATGTCACTTAGTATTCAGATTCATATTTATTGGTTGAGGATAGAAGGCTTGAAGCCTATGTTAATTCTTTTCTAGTAAATTTCTGTGGTTGTCCAAACCCTTCTTGAACGAATCAGTTGAGGTTGCAGACACCACTTCTTCTGGGAGTCGGATCCAAGAGTTTACGCCTCGATGTGAGAACCAGTACTCAGCAGCAATATGATTTCTCCTCGGCTTTTGTACTCTCCTGCTATGTCCTCTAAGGTGTTCCGACCTGGTGGAAGGAAAAGAGAGAATAGGTCAGGTTCGTAGTCATCATTTAAAATTTTAAACATTGTGATTAAATCTCCTTTCTGTCTACGGTATGACAGTGGTTTCAGTTACGACCTGTAACGTCGTAAGCCTCTTAGTTGCATGATATTTAACGCTCATCTAACTAGATTTCTCCTAATATGGCGACTCCAGGACAATAATTGTTATTATTCATTTATTCAGTGGACTATCTAGGAAAAAGATACACGGTATATGGAAGGCATGTACAACCAAAGTTAATATATTCAAATGAGTGCTTCGCTGGATTCTAACGTGTCTAATGGTTTTATATCCATTTACAATCAGAGACAACGGTCAGACAGAACCTTCAGATATCTTGACCCAAATCTAATATATTAAATGGGTTTACTAGTACTGAAGCAATTTTTAGTCACTGTTCGATAGTCAAAGTAACATTGTGACAGTAATGAAGGCACCAAAAGTGCACGCCCCACCTCTGGGTATCCCGTATGATATTTTCAATTGTAGCTCCAACAACATTCAAACACTATACAGTATCACGTTGTTGTAATTATTCACAGGATCAAATAGTCTTCTTGCAAAGAAAAGTAACTAGATCAGTCAATCTAGTTCGATCTTACCATCAACTTTGAACAATAGAGAAAAGCAGAACTATGTTTATGCATTTATTTGAAATCTTTCTGTGTAAGGCTTTAACATATCGTCGAGTTCACTTTTTGTACCACAAAACAGGTCTGAGTTGTATGCAAACAATAAAATTGATGTGTAGTCTGTTGGCTAAATTACATATCAAAGGAATTCACTCAGCATTCTATGAGACTTACAGCTTATTAGTTGATGCACTATGTATGTCACAGACACTGGCTTATATTAGACTTTTTAATAAGCCATTAGTTTTTATAAAATAACTATGTTTCTGTAGGAGTTATGAACTTGTTGGGAACAAGAAAAAATTATTAACTAACGTTAAATATATATAGGCTTTTAAGTTAAGATTTCTTTTAGGCATTAGCTTATCCTGCTAATCAACTTTTATGTCAAGAGAGGATTCGCTTAATCAAAGATAAAATGCGGGTGTAGGTAAGTCAGATAAGTTAAACATTCCATATCAGGATTTTCAGGGAATTCAGAAGAAGCAACTCTGATTTTCAACGCAAATGTGAAGTCATTTAGTTCTTTTGTATGGTTCAGAGTCTTGACTGGAGCGTCACAAAAAGCCAGCTTCAAACTTTTATCAACAGCTGCCTTTGCTGGTATCATAATGATGCTTAGATAGCTGGCCGGAAAGAAACTGGCACCAAGAAACTCCGATAGGCGGTGAACTAGTCAAGAATCTTTCGCACAAAAAATATTTCAATGAAAATGGAAACACGCTGAGGAGACAGTTGAATGACATTCTGGGTCAGGCCATCGTTGAAGTAGAACCGAAACGGGGAACACCAAGTTGGATGTGAGTCCCAGGGTGATGTGGAAGGATTGTTAGAGACTGTGGGCAATAATGGGATCAACTAAGGAGGACCTTATTATCAACACTCGGGACCCGAGGGAATAATAATATTAACCCGGAAGAATTAAATAATATTATACATGTTTACATCAGTCAGGAAGCAGATTGTTCAACATTTAAATTAACGCTCATTTAGTTTGAAGTGTTACTCAACAGTTACTTGAAATTCCATGCAGTCGACAATCAACCATACACCTACTGTGTGACGGGCAATTGATACTAACTGGCTACCCCTAAACCCCGTAAGCCACTGGTTGGGAGTTGAGCATGTAGACCAATGCGTTACAGCTTCCTTAGGTGCTAGTCGCCTATTCGTGTTCTTCAGTCATTTATAAGTACTAGAAAAAACTTTCGTTCCTCTTAAGTTAATAGTAGTGTATGTATCTATGTCTAACTATGTTTCATTCCATTTTTCTATACTTACTTTTACAGGGGTCAAATCGTGAACCACCAGCAATCTCCTAAGTACTGTCAGAGAGAGCGAGAGACGTGTGATCTTAAGAGAACTGTGATTCTTCCTTTCTTTTCCTATTTTACGTTTTCACTAAGAAAGTGAAAACGCGAGAGGATAGAGAAGAGACAGGAAGAACAAGCCAGCCGCTCCCCTCCAAAAAAAACAACAAAATATAAAAAAAGACAATTTCAATATCGAATATGTTGCCATTTTGTTTGTTTTTTGTTCGGTTTTTTTATTTGAAAAGTTTTTGCTTTTTTTAAAAATTTAAATAACGAAGGTGAAGATTTTGTTTTGTTTTCTTGTCTGTCTTTCCCATTTTATTAATTACTCTGCAAATTTATGATACAGATATTTTTTTATACACATGGATATATACATACTACTTAACATTTGAAAAGAAAAGACTTGATAAGTAAAACAAAAAAAAGTATAAAATATAATAAGGAACAACTTCTAAATGCCTTCTTTATGTATGTGTGCGTGCGTGCGTGCGTACGAGTGTGCTTGTGTTTACCGTTTTCTGAAATTCTCAGACGTCTTTTTTTGAAACTACACAAAATTCTACCAGTGTTTGTTGTCAATTTCTATTGATTGGTTATTCTCTCCTGCAGCCCATCCCTTTTTAACATCTTATTCTTTATCATTCTAAGATAATGTAACAAAGGAGGTAACCAATTTGTACTCTGTGCGTCTTTGTGTGTGTGTGTGTCTGTGTGTATGTCCAATAACAAATATAAACAGCTATTTCTCATAACTACTGCTCATACTACTAACACTACTGCTCTTTTTTGTTCGAAATGGACCTATATATACACACACACAGACATTTTTATTCATGAATATGTTCAATAACTCCAAGTATCTCTCCAATTTGCTTTATTTTGTTTTGTCAGTAAAAAGAATTGCAGATAACCATTATTCTTATTCTAATAATGATAATAATAATAACAATATTATTATTTCATCAGAGTAAATATTAAAGTTTAAATAACATTTCATGTGTTCATCATTTAATAGTATGAGTGAGTGAGTGTAGAACAGGGAGTGGAGAGCAGTAGGCATTGTTGAAACGATTCCTCTCTGTCTCTCTCTTTCAGCAGGTTTGAATTCCCTACCATGAACACATCTTTCATGTCCCGCAGTATGACAGCTGGTGATATTATCCAGTTGCCTGCCTAGACATAGAACTCTGCATAGAAGTGTAACAGTTCGAGTTACCACTCTCCCTTCATGCAGGACAAAGCAAGAGAAGGAAGTAAAGAGAGATAATAAACAAAAGTTTGAGGGAAAAAGAAAGGAACGGTGACTGGCCCTATTTAGGCAGTAACCTGGGATTCTGTTGGGCGACTGCGATCAGCAGAGTGCAGTAACTCATAGAAGAAGACATTGTGAAGTGGTCGCACTATGTCATGAATTGGCAGAAGTTGGACTTCATGCACTTGTTGGCCATTGGATCCGGTTCCAGTGGCTTTATGGTCTACGAGCTAGCTCGCCCTCCTTGTAACCAGAAAGTACTGGGTTCAAACCCCTGTGGTGGGTGCGTACTAATGAAGAACTTCAAACTAGGATATAGGAAACAGCTGTCCAGTACTCCCTGCAGGTTTTCCAGTGGTTCTCTAACTGATGTCAGCTCATGATAAAATCCTCCAGCCTTTCATTAGATATGACAAATCCCAAAGAGTGAATGTATCTGCTCCAGTGATTGAGAATGAATATTTTGAGCCATATCACCAATTATCAACAGCCGTCATTGGTTCTCACCATCCCGAGGATCCCAACCAGTCTAAATCTCCCTACGTAGCTGACTCAATCTAACTGTGAAAGATTCCATGTTTTGGTTTGACCACTAATAGCTCTTCTCCAACCTTGCTGATCCTATATCAGCTAAAATTGACCGTCGAGGAAGGCAGCGGCTCAGGATACGCAACATATGTCTTAGCCGTCTAAATCGGTGTAGCTTCACAACCTTATCGACTGAAATTCCCTAACACTCGACCGAAGCCTAGTCTCAATATTACTCACCCTATTATGCCACCTAACACAGGAGAGCGGTACACACGTCATTTGATCGATAGTGATATGTATCCACATATATATATTTATGTGTGTGTGTGTATGGTGATCTCTCTGTTTGCTCGCGTAGTCTGTGACCATTTCACTTGTGTGAACTTGTCTCCTTTAATAATGTGTATTCTCCTTATATTATATTGTTTGACTTTACAGGATGGGGTTGCTAGCCTCATGCCCAACCTTTCCTGTGTACCAGCATTATTTCTGGCTTATCAAGGTAAAGGAGTACGTCGGTGGCCGCGGATCGAACTCCGGACCATGTGCATAGTCGGCGAGCGTCCTAACCGCTGTGCTACCGATGCACCTACAGTAGAGTGAAACATTAGAATTAGGATTTCATTAAAAAACAAGAATAAATAATAAGGAAATGGCGAAACAGGAGTTCAGATTAGTACTCAACTACAATAACTATAAATGGCTTTTTTTTCTACATTGGTACTTCATGTTAGTTATTTCACAGTACATTTTGTGTATATATAACTAATAGATTTTACAAATTGTTCACCAGTTTCCACGTCTTCACTGCTTATCAGAGTCTGTCGACAAAGTGCATTAGTATAGATGTTAATGTCAATTTGTGTCACGTTGCACTTTGTATAATGTAGTTTGATTGGAGTCGTATTTGCAATCAGAATTTGTTTGTAGGGATTCGAACTGATCCAAGTTTGATAATGGATTGATGTCAGTTAGAGAAAGAGAGAAAGAAAAGGCATCAGGGACTAACTGGAGAGGTGTTTCATCCTAGTCTGGGATTCTCCATTGGTACGCACCTATGACCTTACCATTGATGGAACACAGGAAATTTGAAACAATGTGAATGATTACAGTCAAATACGATTGAGGAAAATGTAAGTGGATTAATAATAATAATAGTAACCTCGATCTTCGACTGTGATATATGTCTGATTTCCCACTCACTCGAAGATATGCAAGTGAAAAGCAACAAGTTGGCAGAGGAAGCATCAAATATAAGAAGGACTTCAGGTGAACATAGAGAAAACAGAGGTGATTAAGATTCCTGGGCAACCCCCAACAGCAACAACAACAACAACAGCGGACAACAATAAGCCAGCATAAATGGGAAGAACCTGAAAGAAACAACCTACTTTACCTACTTATCTGGGAAGCAGCGTTTCAACTACAGGCGGGCGGAACTGACGAGGATATCAAAGCAAGGATTGAGAAAGCAAGACGAGCTTTCATTACTCTCAAGTCTGTGTGGAGGTGATCAGCAGCACGCAACATGAAAAACAAGCTGCGGATTTTCAACTCCAATGGGAAGTCAGTGCTACTGTACGAACCAGAGACTTGGCGCGTCATGAAGAGCACCTCAAACAAACTACAAACGTTCATCAATAGCTGTCTTCTCTCAATACTACTCAAGATCAGATGGCTGGCCAGAAAAGGTCAGCAACAATGAGGGATCTCTGGGAGCGGACCAACCCAGCAGGAAGCGATTGTGCAACAAATATGCAGGAAGAAATGGAGGTGGATTGGCCGTACTCTGAGAAAACAAACCATCAAGTGAGTGACATCACACTCCAGGCCGTCATTCGTGTAGAACGCAAATGGGAAGCAGCGAGATGGTCGTCAGCGTGAGGTTGACTTGAAGGAGGTGATGTGAAGAGGAGATGAAACCATGTGGACAGACCTGGAGCCAGGTGAAAACTTAAGCAGAGAATTGAACGCAATGGAGATGTGAAGCTGGAGGCCTATGTTCCTCTAGGAATTAAAGGAAGTTATAATAGTAGTAACCGCGAAAACTATTCTAGATCGAGGTTGAAGGCCATGGGAAAGAAAGGGACTAAACAAACCTTTTCTGAACACAAAGATTAAGCTGGAAAATGTTTTCCGCGGCAACTGACTCAGCTGCGCTTTATAATCGAAGACGAAAAAAACTTGCGAAAGATGGAGGTGGCACTTTGTATAGAGATTTGTAAAGGCAGAATTTCGGTGAATTTCGTACGAATAATAATGTGAAGCTCCTGACTGACTTTATAACTCCTTTACCTAACCATGTTGAACAACGCTCAAGAAGGTGACTAGTCATTCTATCTATGTGATTGTCTCCACATGAACAGTTAAATATATAAAAATGCACAGGGAACTGACCAGACTCGGTGGCTTGTAGTTTTTCAAACGAATTATAAATGTGAACAGGAAAAGTATGGAAACAAACTTAGAATAACTGCTTTTATAACTGAAAAAAGAATTAGGTGGATCTAATGAAGACTGAGGGAGTAAGAATCACACACACAGCCAACGAAAAAATGCTCAAAAAGAGAAGAGAGAACGAAGAAAAGAAGAGAAAAACGTAAACAAAGGGAGCATACCGAACTAGGTCCATGGTAGTTGTAGAGGTTGGACTAGTTTCTTTTAAACACACATCTCCGGCTTCTCGATGCATATTGCAAGGGCTTCTGCAGTACAAAGAAGTCGGAAAGATACTGCTTTTGGTAGGTTTATGTTGACTTTGTAAATCACTTTGAAAGAATCAGTTGAGATGTTGTGGGAGGTGTTGATCAGATGTTCAACAATGGCACTTCTGACTGAACTGGTGCCTCCTCTTTGCACCTACGCTGGGTAATGTTCTCTAACACGTTTTGAAAGGACACGCATAAAACGACCTATGTACCTAGCTCCGCATGAGCAGGTGAACTGGTATATGCACATTGAATTGGTCATATGCGGGAGTTTGTCCTTTGTGTTGTTTTGAAGTATTGGAGGGCTAGAGAACGTCACTCTTAGTGTTGCTGAAGGGAAGGTCTTCTTCAAAGAGCTGGATATTCTCCTCTTCAGGAAATTAACTGCCAAATCTCCCTTGAAATTCAGATTTAGATAAAGCGTTTTCTTTGGCACTGAATCTTATTCTTCTCTTTTTGGTTTAGGTTTCATGTTCTTTTCGAAAAAAAACGTGTCGGGTAGCTATTTTGAGCCA